GAGCTGCAATGTCATCATTTTTCCGCTCCATTGGGTGACAGCCGCCAAAGATGATTCGACGACTCATTTTATTGACCTCTAAAATTTGTAAGAAGATCTAGAAATTGACTGCGTCGTCCTTATTTAAGGAGAGGCCATAGATACTGCACGACGATCCTCTTGAACACTCAAGATTCTAGTATATCGTCAACGTATCGTTACCGCGATGTTAGAATTCTATTTTTCTACTTTAAACTTAATTTTTACTTCATTTAATGATAATTTATGTGACTTAAATCTACCAAATTATTCTTCATTCAATGACAATTCTTCTGACTTTTACATATCTTAATTTGATCAATTAAATCGTCTATAATTACTTATGTAAGAATCATCAGACGGAACTCTATTTTCGCCCGATTTGCATTCGTCGAGTATTAACGTCATCTTGACGTCTGCACCCTTATTTTCTTTTTTTTTTAAAATTAAATATATTTTATTTTCATTTCTTAATCTAAGATTCATAAAAAATTATATTCTTCCAAAAAAAATTAAAAAATTACCCAATATCATATTACATTTTTGTGATCAACTTAGAAAATTCTCACTATTTTTAAAACTTTTATTAAATTATAATTGATATCTTTGTTCAAAAATACTTTTAAATATCTAAAAATTAGTATTTTCTAATTTTATAAATTAAATTTACATAATTTATTATGCAATAACTAAGTTATGTCAACAACACACTTTATTGATTTCTAAACTTTACTAGAAGACCTAGAAATTGTCCACATCATCTTTGTCTAACAAGAGCCTTTGAAGTCATAGACATTGTATAATAATTTTTTCGAATACTTAAAATTCTAACGTATCACTGACATATCACCACCACAATACCAAAACTTTGTTTTACCATTTTTAAACTAGTTTAACTTCTGTCATTATTTTTTAGACTTCAAAAGGAGATCTAATAAATGCTCAAGTCGTCTATGTTCAATGAGAGCCTTTGAGGTTGTAGACATTATTCGATGATCCTCCTAAACACATAGAACTTTTATGATCGCTGTCGTGAGGCCGTAACTCTGCCTTTCCTACTTTCAACTTAATTTTCACTTAATTTAGTGACACTTTGTGTGATTTAAAATTTCGAAAACATTCTCCATTCAATTATAATTCTTTTGACTTTTACATATCTTAATTTGACCTATTAAATAATATGTAATTACTTACATAAGAATCACTACACGGAACTCTATTTATATCCAAATCATGTTCCTTAGGATACTGATGTCATGTTGACGTCTGCACACTTATTTCTCTTTTTGTGAATTTTTTAAATATATTTTATATTTATTATTTACTCTAAAAATTATAAAAAGGTATATTCTTCTAGAAAAATTCTAAAATATTACTCAATTTTATCTTACATTCATGTGATTGACTTAAAATTTTCTCACTATTTTTTAACCTTTTATCAAATTATAATTGATTTATTTGTTTTGAAATATTTTTAAAAATATAAAATTAGTATTTTCAAGTTTTATAAATTTTAAATTTGTGCAATTCATTATATAATGACTAAATCACATCAGCTATCCATCTGCATCTACCACGAAAGCTTAGCATGTAAAATGTATGCTTATCATGATACTTTGTTTACCTTTGAAGTGATTGCTAATAACATGATACTTTAAATTAAAAATAAAGTAAATGTATACATTATTACCATAATTTAAATAATAAATAATATAAAAAAATAAGAATTTTTATATTGATATCAATGTTTTTTGAATTTTTATACTTATAGTTCTGATTTTAATATTTTTTAAAAAAAAATATTTATTTTATATATTTAGGATATATAAGAGATTTGGGCTATAATACAAGAATAATTTGGTCTTTATGCACCCATGGGCCTACTTTAGGTCATCATGTCACCCTCCACAACTGCTGATACACACACACACACACACACACATATATATATTATGCAACCCTTCTCTCCCTTCTATTTCCTAACCTCTCTTTCTTTCTCTTAGAGTTTATCACTTCTCTCTCAATCTTTCGTGTGTGATAGCCAAAAAATCATTCTCCACTTATTACTCAACATTTTAGAGTTTCAGTTTTCGAGTTTTTAGTGATTTTTATTTGCTTCCTAATGCACCCTTTTGTCCTCTTTTCTCAAGTGATATATGAGAGTTCTTCATTTATTTTACATGTCTTGTATATTCTTCCTCCCCCCCTTCCTCACTCTTATTTTGTTGTTTTACCACATTCCGAAACATTCATGCAATTATTTCTACCTTGACCTTTTGTCCACATAAGCTAACAACATGTCACCATCAAGATACTATATTCAAAACTTGAATATCTCTTACAATATCTCAATTTCTTGATGATTTAATCTTCATAAAATATTACGAGACTTGTTTGTCATATTTTTGAAATGTTAAACACAACATTATATGATTAGAGAAATATATAATCAAAGATAAGATAATTCAAAATATTTATTTATACCTATTTAACTATATAGTTATCCTTTTATTTGGAGATGATTCTTCAACTTGTACTATCTGTTGATCAAATCTTCTCAATATGAAAAATCACTTAATATCAATGATTAATACTTTAGATTTGATCAATAGTGATAAGATCAAATAATTAATAAGGATATTTCACATAATGATTATGCTGAATGTATTGAATACTTTGAGACAATCATGCTATATATATAAATAACCATCAATATTCATGGATTGTATAACAATAAATTTTCACTTGTAATTATCAAAACCAAGGGCATTAATATGTTCATCCTTTTTATATGAGTTTTCTCCTTTTTTGAACTATTTTTTCTCCCTATTGCGCCTCCAATCTCTTCCCTACATCTTCCTTTTTGATGTCTAATCAATTTCAAATTTCTTTCTCTCATTGGCGATATCATTTTTGCAAGAAATGTCTCTCTTCCAACTTCTTTCTCCTTTTTCCAGAATTTTCTCTCTTTTCCCATGACTTCCTTGTCCTTGCTATCTTTCCCTTTTAATCATTTTGTGTTCATTTGATCGATCTTCCCTTCCTTTCTTTGGTACTCTATTAGAGAGGTCTGTCATGTGATGACAAACTCTTTTGCCATCGTGATTTTTATTTATTTTTAGTAAACTATCTCCCTCACATCACTATTGACGAATCAAGCCTCTCTATCCTCTCTCTCTCTCTCCAACGTGATGTTTTTCCCCTCCCCCTCTCTCCTCTCTCTCACCTATCGCCCTCTCCTCTCTATCCTCTTTCCCCGCTTTTCTCTCTCGCCAAAGGAGTCTCTTCACAGCCTGGTGGATCCAACACAGCATCATTGACTTGGGGGAGATAGCGGAGGTTCATCATCTTAAGCACTAGCTTTTACCTTATTTTCGTATGATTTTTTTATCTTAGATACTTTCATTTGATTATTCTATTAGCAGTATCTTCTTTTTGAGAACACTAAATTTTATTAAAAATTAATTAATTCATCCACTGGATTTGATCTAGAATCATCTAACATTTCATTATTACATTCGAAGAGTTCAATTATAAATTTAAAATTTACATCAGTTGACATACAAATAATCGGTGTACATCATACATCACATTGGAATAAAGGTCAAAGTGTCACAAAAAATCTCAATTTCGTACAAATTGGACGTTGGGTGTACCTTGTACTGTCTTCAGCTCTGAGCCTCTTTGACACAATGTACCGCCTACCTATGAAACATTCACCACAACATTGTACTTGAGCAGCCCTAGGTGTGCGGTGAGGCTCTCCATCACCACGCAACTCTCCAGCTTTGGCATCCTCTCCCCATGCTGAATTAGAGTGACTGCCTCACCTGCAACTGCTTGGACATCCTCATGTGTTTTTAAATCATCAGTACATGAAAATGGGCTTCCATGGTATCCACCATGGTGACCAAAAAGAGCTATTAGTTCCTCCAATCGAGCTAGTCTTTGGTTGTGGGTTCCACTCTCTTTAGGCATCTTTTTCTTTGCCAAGATGCAAGAAAACTCACTCCGATATCAATTATCATATGGTTCGTGAGGTTGTGCCTCCGAAATGCTGACCTATTTGCAGCCTTGGTTGCCTATCCGACAATCAAGCACCCTTCTCCCTCTCTAGAAACTTTGAAGAAGCTTTAACTCAAAGGGGAAAACAATCTTATTCGAGAGTTTATACTAGTTAAAGAGGGAATAGTCCTGTCACTGGCCAAATAGAGTTGTAGGACCACTTTTTCTATAGGGAAGAATCATTAGTGGCTTTTTCCTATTTTATCCCCCATCAATGCCCTTTACCCTTGATGGGACATATTGACGATGTGTGACACCATACGCATTTCTGAGCAACCACTGATATTTGGTGGTTAAACTTTTTCACCAATGAGATTCATTTAACAGGGCACATATTGCCGTGGGGAGCCTTGCTAAATGAGAGAAACCCTTTTGGCTATCGTAGTAGCGATAATTACACTACTATTACATGTCCAGATTAATTAATAAACTTTAAATTACACTGCAGAATTTTAGAACTTGAATGAGGAGAGCCGATTTGGGGCTAATGGGATATCCACAGGAATTCCCCATTTGATTCTGACTGGGGGTTCCCTTGCTTATGTTCTATCCTATCCTTTATGAGTCATAGTAAGGGGAATCTCTCTCCCTCTCTCTCTCTCACACACACACGCATACACAGTCTGAACCCTCAAGTGGGTTGTGGCGGCTGCTGTTCTACGATTCTTATTAGACGAGGGACCTCGTAGAAGTCAAGCGTGCATCACATGTCATATCTGCCCCAATTGCCTTACGAGACAAGGCGGTAGACTAGTCAAACCCACGTGCCGATTACCTCCATGTTGGAAGCATGTGAAGGGGCCGGTCGGTCTTCGAGCGGCGGTGGCTGATCGCTACTCTTCTGCTCCTTCCCTTCCCTTCCCTTCCCTTCCTTCCTTAAGAGGAAAGGGGAGGAGAGGGCCTTAGCAGTAAGGGACATGGCTTCAGATCGAGCGGAGACGATGTTGCTCTTCGTCGCCGCTGTACTCACCCTCTTCCTCGCCGGAGCAGGCGGCGGCGAAGGGGCGGCGCTGCCAGGGGGGAAGGAGATGGGGGAGTGGCTGAGGAGGGTGAGGAGGGAGATCCACGAGTACCCGGAGCTGGCGTACGAGGAGTTCCGCACCAGCGCGGTCATCCGGCGCGAGCTCGACCGCATGGGCGTCTCCTACGCGTGGCCCCTCGCTGGCACCGGCGTCGTCGCCAGGATCGGCACCGGCCTCCCCCCCTTCGTCGCCCTCAGGGCCGACATGGACGGCCTCCCCATTCAGGTTAGACACAGATTTGTAGAGAGAGAGAGAGAGAGAGAGAGAGAGAGAGAGAGAGCTGCAGAGAAACATAGGGAGAGAATTGGGGTGGTGGATACACGCCGGGAGCACGCCGGGAGATAATGGCGGGAGCAGGTTCGCGGTGTGATAGATATATTCTTACAAAATGAGAGAGAAGTATTCAGATTTTACCCTCATATCGCTAGAACCTTACAGAGAGAGAGAGAAGGTATCGAAGGGGTGGGTGATGACTAAAAAAGGGTCTGGTTTTGTGCAGGAGCTGGTGGAGTGGGAGCACAAGAGCAAGATGGACGGGAAGATGCACGCATGCGGGCATGACGCGCACGTTAGCATGCTCCTCGGCGCGGCGAGGATACTGCAAGAGGTCAAGGACACATTGAAGGTCCGTAAAAACTTTCCAATCCCCTTGTCGCTGGCGATTTCCTTCATTTTCTCGTCTGCCCAGATTCTAATTCCTTTTGGGGAGAGTCATGGTGGGTGAAAGATCGTACCTCGCCCATTTTACGGAATAATGACGTCATATTTAAAAAATAATGGGTACTCATCTCCCACTCCGCCTTTCTATCTGACTTCCCCTGAAGATAAACATAGCCACACCATGATTTATGTTCTCAGACCTAATAACAATAAAAATAATAATAATAATAATATGACGGCTAAAACCGTCCGCAGAGATCCTCATCTGCATCGAATCAGGGTGGCTCCACACAGAGTGAACAAGCAAAGGAGATACTGTAGGAGCCATATCTAGAAACGACGATTCGATTCATCAATAGAAGAGATCAAACGAACTGACGACGCACCGGTGGCGCACTTGCTTCCTCCCTCTGATTCTTCCCCAGGGAACAGTGATCCTCATCTTCCAGCCGGCCGAAGAACGGGGCACTGGAGCCAGCAGGATGATCCAGGAGGGGGCTATAGACAATGCCGAGGCCATATTTGGCATACACACAGCCTACAACCTCCCCACAGGGGTTGTGGCCTCCAGGCCGGGGGAGTTTCTGGCAGGGTGTGGGCAGTTCAAGGCAGAGATCACAGGGAAAGGCGGCCCTGCCGCCAACCCCCAGCATGCAGTTGACCCCATCTTGGCGGCGTCGGCCTCGGTGCTCAGCCTGCAGAATCTTGTTTCCAGAGAAGCGGACCCCCTGGATTCCCAGGTGAGTCTTTCCATGGCAAGGTTATGGAAAATATGAGGGTATGTGGATGGTGGGGGAACTACGGTGAGAATGAATAAAGAAAAAATAAATTTTCTTGCATCTAATTGGGGCTTCTCCAGTGGATGGATGGATCATGGATTTGAGTAAGTGAGAAGGCTGCCTCTATATGAGTAACCTCACTGCAGAACTGAAATATGTATAAATACTTACTGATTTATTTGACTTTTTGAACTGTGCAGGTGGTTTCAGTGTCCAAGTTTCAAGGAGGAAATGCATTCAATATCATCCCAGATTCAACCGTGATTGGAGGCACTTTCCGGGCATTCAGACAGGAGAGCATCAGCATGCTAAAGCAGAGAATTGAAGAGGTATCTTCTGAACACAGTAAATTTACCAGGGGATAAAGTAAACTACTATTTTCTCAGGAAAGCACTGAAGAACAGTGATTCTTTCTCTAGATCAAAAGCAAAGAAACCACTTCCTTGGACCCTTTTAGACAAGGACTCTGACCCTCTCCGCCTGCAGGTCATCACAGGGCAGGCAGCAGTGCACCGGTGCACCGCCAAGGTCGACTTCTTCGAGAATGAGCAGCCCATAATCCCCCCCACGGTAAATGATGAGGAAATTCATGAGCTGGTTAAAAGGGCATCTACAGAGGTAGTAGGGAAGGAAAATGTGCATTTGTCCCCGTGCTTCACAGGGAGTGAGGACTTTGGATTTTACTTGAGACACATACCTGGCACCATGCTGCTTGTGGGAACAAGGAATGAGAGGAATGGCTCTGTTCACCCGGCGCATAGCCCGCACTTCAGCATTGACGAAGATGTCCTCCCCATTGGCGCAGCAATTTATGCAGCCTTTGCCCATAAGTACCTTCTGAAAAATAGTCATCATTCGAGCTGATACATTTTTACTTCTTTTCATTGCCTAACATGTGTCCCGTTTACTTCAGACACCTGTATTGGAGACCAGAAAAACTGCAATTTATATTCACCCAAGTATAGATATTGAGATGGCTTCAAAAGTTTGCGGAAACCTGGGTTTCTGCGTGTGAAAAGCTGTTAATACTGGGGCACAATGCCGCCCAAAGTTTTAACTACTGTTCTCCATTCAATTACTGTGCCTACACGAGCGAGAGAGAGAGAGAGAGAGAGAGAGGATTTACAAAGTATTAGATACAATGAAGAGGCTCTTCTTACTACATGGACTTGAGAATGAAGCTCTCTAAGACACACTCTATCTCCATCTAGCTTATCTCCATTAGGTGACAATCGTTGGTGGTCTGCAAAGTCACTATTTTTTCACTCCATCAGGCAACAATCATTGAAAATGATTCATCGACCCACTTCATTGATTTCTAAACTCAATAAAAAGATCTAGAGATTACTCACGTAGTCATTCTCCAAAGAGAGCCTTTGAGACTGTAGATATTGTTCGATAGTCCTCTCGAACTCTCAAGATTCTAACACATTACTGTCGCAACACTAAAACTCTATTTTACTATTTTTAACTAATTTAACTTCTACCATCTTTTTTTAGATTTCAAAAGTAGATCCAATGAATGCCCAAGTCGTCTATGTCTAAGGAGAGTCTTTGAGGCCGTAGACATTATACTACAACCATCCCGAACACATAGTGTTTCAACAACCGTTGTCGCGAGACTAAAACTCTACCTTTCATATTTTCAACTTAGTTTTTACTTCATTTAGTAATACTTTGTGTGATTTCAAGTTTCAAAACTATTCTTCATTTAATTAAGATTCTTCTAACTTTTACATATTTTAATTTGATCAATTAAATCATATATAATCATTTAAGTAATAATTGTTGAACATCACTTTATTTTTTGTTGATTTGTGTTTGTTAGGGGTTGATGTCATCTTGACATCTACAGCCTTATTTTCCTTTTTCCTTAATTTTTAAATATATTTGATATTCATCATTTAGTTTAAAAATTAAAAAAATCACAGCCTTTTAGAAAAATTCTAAAATATTGCCTAATTATATCCCTATAATCGACCTAGAAAATTTCTACTATTTTTAGAAAATTTATTTAATTATAATTGATATATTTATTTATAAATAATTTTAAATATCTAAAAATTAATATTTTCTAGATTTATAAATATTTAAATTTGTGTGATTTATTATACAACAAGTAATTTATGTCACAACCCTATTATGAAATTGAAAAATGTATTCTAGTTGAACATGTTTTGTTGATATCCAAGAGAGTTGAATTAAGTTATTTCACATACCCTCACACCATCATATGTGCTTCACGTGTTGAAGCACATTGCATGCTACCTAGACATTGTTCTGCTAGGGAAGAATTATTTTATTATATCATTACACATTTTAAAAGTGTCAATAGAGAGTCTAATTTAGTTATTGATAAGTCTTCATTATCATGAGTTAATAATAAATTAATAATATAATTTTAGCCTTAATTCATGATAAACAAACTTCTATTTATGTTAAATGATGCAAAGTGGTTTTTAGTTGATTAATGTGAATTTTTAACTAATCATATGATTTTATAAAAATTTCTATAATTTTTATTAAAAAAAATTGAGATAAATGAAGAAAAATAAAATAAAATAAAAATATAGAAAAAGAGGGGAACTTGCCGGCCTCTTGGGCCCACAAATAGGTCAGAAGCATAGTCAAGTAGAGCCACGAGTAGGGGCTCTAGCAGCTAAGGACGGACCAATAAGAACATGTGTACGTCACTCCTCTTTCACGTCACTAGTGGTCAGTCGGGCGTGAGACAAGGAGTGGTCATACACATGCGAGAAAGGGACTCATCACTTACCAAATCTTGTATTACTATACATTCATTTCAAAATTCGGAATATAATCAATATGGGACTAAACTAATAGTCACAATTTCTCTAGAATATTTTAATGATTTTTGTACCTCAAATATTTCTTCTTTATTAGGAGGTACCCTAATGATGTTACTCTGTAAAGATATTCTCATACTTATTTCACTCTCTCTTATACAAGTGGGTGATTAAGAGGGTTCAAATCTTACTAGAGTTAAACTCATATTTTTATTTGATTAAATCATGATTTTCTTACATATTTCCTATGAATGATTAAGCTATTAAAATCACTCAATTATTAATAAAAATCTCGTCAATATAATTCACAAAGTATTATTACTAAAATTATTGAACGATTTTGGATAAAAAAATCACGAATCTATCAAGTAAATCATCTATGATTGATCAACAAATAAGCTATCATCGAGAAGAAGACAACTCGCTAAGAGACGAGTCGTCATCTCCTGAGAATGTACTATATGCAATGAAAAGCCTCATCTTGCTACATGGGCCTAAGGATAAAGCTCCTTAAGACGTGTCTCACCTCCATCCAATTTATCTCTAACAGGTGACAGCCACCGAAGATCTGTAAAGTCATTGTTTTTCTACTCCATGGGTGACAATTATTAGAGATAATTTGACGACTAATAAGTCTTCATTATCATGAGTTAATAATTAATGAATAATATAATTTTAACCTTAAGTCATGATAAATAGACTTATATTTATGTTAAATTATAAAAAGTGGTTTTTAGTTGATTAATGTGAATTTTTAGTTAATTATGTGATTTTATTAAAATTTATATGATTTTTATAGTCCTATTTTTGAGACAAATGAAGAAAAAGAAATTAAAATAAAAATATAGAAAAAGAGGGGACTTGATGGCCAATCCGGCTTGCAAGCGGGTCGGAAGCACACTCTATCTCCATCTAACTTTTGAGAGTATACTAGATACAATGAAGAGGCTCTTCTTGCTACATGGACTTGAGAATGAAGCTCTCTAAGACACTCTCTATCTCCATCTATTTTGTTAAGAACTTTTATGAAAATCATGGTACATCAAAATTGTTTATCAAGTCAAATGGTCTAGCCAGCTGACAATTGAGTCCAACAATTGAATAAACATTCAAAAGACAACGAGTCAATCAAAGCGAATAATCAATCACTGTTTGAGTGAATAATGATCTCTACAGATGAAGTCAAAGCTTTCTACATAGCCTTCAGAGAGGCCAACGGAAAAGACATGACTTTGATATCCTTAGTGTAAATGTTAGTGAGGGCAAACAGAAACAATACAAAAACAACTTGAGCACTCATGATTCCGAAGTGACTTATGCTATTACCGATTTCCATCCAACTTCCAGTGTTTTGTACCTGTAGATTTGAAACGGAGCAGAGATGTTGTCAAAAACTAAGACCCAGATTTATTAGTTACACCGTAAAAGAGTAAAGCACTTATGTTCGATTGGTGACGAAAAAACAGTTTCATAGATTTTGGAAAAACAATTACTAAAATAACATTATTCTGGATAGCCAATGAAACACACCTTGATTTCAGAACAGAAAATTAGATCCTAAACACGTTCATTCTTGTGCAGCCTCTCCTGGTTGCCATCACTCGTTCATGCACTCTCCCTTTTTGTACCCAAGACTCGTGTGGGAAAAACTCTATAACTAGGGTTAGGTTTTATGTAATTTTCCTATGTTGGTTAGGTTGTTGGCCAGTTTCCTAATTTGGTTGAGTATCCTATAAATCGTGGGATTCAACCTAGGTAGTTTTCCTTTTATGAAGCCAGGGTAATTATCTATGGCCAACAATGGTTCCATGAATTTATACGACAGAAATCTTTTCCAAATGTTTATTCTTGTTTGATTTGCGTCAACTCATATTTGACACCTTGATAGCTTCCTAATTTGGTTCAGCCAACTCAGCGGCAGTTCAGAACGTCGCTTCCCCACTCAATGACTAGCTCTGACGTGTCACTCATTCATTTATAGTCTATTGGAGAAGCCTTCTTGATGCGTGCTGTAATAGATTGGCTGTGAGTTGTTAGTTCGTTATCATACCCATGATGCTTAGTTGGTTAGCTTTGTAGATTAATTAATCAGTTTCCCAGTTTTTCAATTTTAATAAACTCCTAGAAGAAATAAATGAATTCGGTCAGACAAAATTAGATAAATTTTCCTTTCAGACACCTAGCCGACAGAATAACGAGCACCTACGCTCTCCTCTACTGCCTCTCCCTTTTTCTCTTCTTATGGAATTCTAGATGTTGTTATTCCTTCTTTTGAGGTGTCATACTCCACAACCCACATCACTACTTCAACCATCAGTATTTTCTCCTATTACAAGTGCTTTGTTGAAGTCTTGGACTAAAGCCCTTGTCTCAGAAGGATCCTAGCTTTGTTCATAAAGAATCAAATTCGATTCATACTTTTACATTCACATTCAAAGCCGCCCAGCCAGTAACTGCATGTGATTCATTGAGAACCATCTTCAATCACTCCTGTCACAAAAGAGGTTTCGCATGCATCTAAAGGGTCTTCAAAAAACCCTAAAACATGGGGCAAAGCCCTAAGACTGAGGCAGCGTGAATGAAGAAAGAAGCTACTTGGCGTTGAAAACCTCAAGAATCCTAACATCTAACTTCTAGGATCATTCAATCTCAACCTTATATTAGTTCGAAAATCCATTCTCAAGTTACATGACCGCTAGACCAAGTGACACGCTAATCACATTACTAGAAGATAATAAGGATAATTAAACCCAAGTTCTACCTACTATTAAGCCCGCTAAGTCAACATAATCAGGCATCTAATTTTCCAAGGATCGGATTCTCTTTAGGCCATTGATACCTAGATAGCACCTTCCCTTTCTGCATGGCCTATGTTAGATCAAAACCACTCAAACTAGATCAGACAAAACATGTGATACAACAAAATTCACAAGGAAAAGCATATTTCCTCTGTGATGTGGCATTCACAAGTTCTCAACCATCACTTACTGGCTGACTCATTGGATGATCCCATGGAGATCTTGTAACTTTCAAAACCTCTCGGCACCTATGAGTTGTACTGAGTCACTAAAGAAGGCTAAGGCTTTTCATGGAGATGGTGAACATGGAATTCGAGGGTCAATCCATTTAATCAAATGCCAGCAATGACGGAGCATCTGATAAGAAAAATTGGGGCACCAATGTTGGATATGAAAATATCGCTGGAAGAGCCTGATGTCAGATGGAGATTCAATTAGACAAGTTCAGGTTGCAGGTCCTCTGTAGAGTCAAATATGTGTTAGAGAGAGCTAGCTCAGGTTACACTAACGATATTTACAAGCAGTTGTGTGGGTAGTACAGTCTTTGCCAAATGAAGGTTTACTTTCAGCATCCAGTCATGTTACCCACTGCACAATAGTGATGAGAATTTCTCTCCCAATCTCTCCAGCAGCTAAAGGCATGTACGAGTGAACTAAGTGTCCACCTGGACAGGCCGGACTCTAGACAAGACTTTGGACAGTTTCTGGTCGTATACTAGTCATTAAAATATTCTGATTCACTGTTGAGATCAAAGCTGAAAGATAGAAACTAAGCGCAAGTGGTGCAACCAAGGTTTCTCTGAGGTGGAATATGAAAAGGTGAATGCATAATTCTGAGTGAAAACTCATTTCATTTGCGCGGACCCATTCAGGCAAATGCCTACAATGGTTTGTCCACCTATGTTGAAGAGCATTTTCTAATTACTTGAACGGGGGAGCTATTCTTTTACATTCCCTGTATTTTACAGATGACTGATGACCAGTTCAAGTTCCAACTTTAGCAAATACTTGAACTTCTTTCACTAGACGGAACAACACAGAGCTATATAAACTTTGATGCATAACGGTTCATAAATACAATAGAATTCAAAAACAAAATATTGTTAAAAAAGAAAGAATCCTTACCAGGAAGAAAAAATGAATCGTCATGATATCCGATAGCAAAATTACAAGGAAGTAGCAACCCATTCTTGGAACATGGATTAGTTTTGTTATTGAACTAAATACGCATCTGTAAACAACAATGAAACAAGTTATTCCTAACTAAACTGAACAATACACAACCACACATCAAATATGAAAATAATGAGACCTTTTGACTGAGGTTCAAAAGCTAATATATCGGTCCATTGGATATAGTTAATTACGAATATTGAAACTACTCAGCCTTTATGCATCTCACTGAAAATGACTTGTTCTAGTCAGCTTGGGTGAACTAATCCAGAATGAACAGAGATTTCAGAATAAAATATTATTAATTCAAGCAATTATACACATCTATCTGTACAACAAAACGATTTTAAATGTGCATCTCCCAATAGACTCAAAAGAACAACAGGACATAGACACGCTTAAATAAGTCCTTACATCACAAGCATGAACGGAATGAATAACTTGAAAATGAGCAACGCTGCCATGAAAAATGGCTGCATTGAGAAAAGTTCAGTCAGAGGCAACATCATCTAGCTGTATTTAACCAAAAAGAAGGCAAGAGACTTATGCTTACACTGAATACCGTGACGAATCTATAAACTGATGAAATCTCAAAGCTCGCAATACTTGCAAAGTTACCCGTGCCAAAAAAAGCAACATTAAACAACACCATCTGCAAGTTATTTATGCACGATTTTAGTACAGAAAAATATACCATCTGCAACGAAATTTGATAGTACAAGCAAGAGCGACTCAAAATTAGGGAAGATGCATTATTTTGCCATCCAGAAGAATTGAGTAAAGTTTAACGCGGCACAATGATACCCAGTTAAAGGCAGAAGAGTATCTTTCAAAATTTTGGCTAATCAAGATAGCACATTTGATGTAATATATCACATACAACACAAAGCACATCTAGTGTCCTCTGAGTTAAGTAAGGATTTTCTGACTGCTGATTAATAATGCCCAGTAGCTCATCCATCAGATTAAGCTCCATACATGGAATCACAACGACAATTCCACAATGCACATAAGAAAATTCTCAAATCACGAAGAGGGATTACTGTTGCCTCAACGTGCATAAATTCAGAGGAACTCTCAACTACAATCAAGGTAAGCACCTAATAACCTCAGGTTTCACCACCCTTGCGTAGAATGGAACCTTGGGATGTAGTCAACCTAGGGTGTCTCCATGTTCCAATGATAAATCACCATTTCCCCTTCCCAGAAGAGATTGTCAGAGCCTAAGGCATCCCCGTCTCATCATACTGCACATTAGCAAGGTATATCAGACCTTCGTATTCTACATGCCATGGAAACTGACGGGAAGCAAAATTCCAGGAAATACGCTTGCTGCAGAAGACTGACCACAAAAATGCCACCAAGAAAGAACATCATTTGAGTCTGGATTTAGCACCCTTGGAACAAATAGGAGTTAAGAAATGAATACTAGATTTGAAGGCTCCACGGAATTCCACAGAATCTGCTTCCTATGTTGGACGTGATGCCTTACTACCTAATAGACAAATGAAACACTGGGTTTGACAGCCCTGTGGAATAGCACCCCTCACAATGACTACCTGGTGACAAATAGTATTTCTATGTTCAATATGATGATTCAACATCGCCTATAATCCTGAACCACATTTCAGAACATCTTAGAAAATCCCAACACATAAAAAAAGAAGAAATACGGGTATTTATTTCATAATTTTATAATGCATATAAAGATATTTCTTTTGAAAAGGCATGCACACAAGAAAACACCAAACGAAGATTTTTTTTATAAATTCGAATTAAACCTCTAACCCTGAATCCATTACTTTCCAGGTGGCTGTGGATGCCATGAGGGTCAGCAGACCAGGAGTCAGTGGTGATTGACAATGACTTCAGGTGAGTTTGATTTATTCCATTTTCTGTTTTGCCTTTCAGAAATGATTTTTAGTATCTAGATGACTTGCGGTGGACCTTTGGATCTAATGCATGTAGAGAGGATGGGAGGAGAACAAAAGTGACCAATTTTGAGGAAAATGAAATCAACGAGAAATCTGACTTCTTCTCGTGGTAAAAGTCATTCTACATTCAATGAGGACAATATTTCAATCTTGTGATTAAAGTTCTCACTGAATTTTGGACAAATGAAAAGAAAATGTGAACTAGACAGCAAATTTTGAGGAACGTAAAAGATGGCTTACAAAAATTAATGGAACTCTTAAGTCAGAAAGGCGAAGACATCTTTCATTATCTTTGAGGTTGAACTTCTCCTCCACACTTTCGACTTGAGTGATGGTGGTCGAATTAAGAGTTATACACTCGACTAATATCCATCCCAGAAGAACAAGAGAAAGCGCACTGTAGAAGACTGCTTCATAACTGGATTCTCATGAACATGAAAATACAAGAATCAGAATCATAAGAAGCCAAAATTGAAGATATGTACTTCAAAGCAGAAAATATAAAGAAGGATTACCCTATACACAGTAGAAGAAATGGGGGAGCAAAACCCAAAAATATAGAAGTGAGGCGTGGAAGGAGGTTGCTTGATGATAGTAACGGTAGTAAAATAGAAACACCTGTCAAAAGGTAAGAACATTTAAAGCAAAACAAGAACTGTCAGTGCAAGCTTGCTTCAAACAATTTCATATTTTACAGAAGTCAAGAAATCTTTTGAACAAATAGAAAGTTCATGTTACCCCAACTAGAGACATTTCAGCTACTTGTAAGAAAGGTTGAGATTTCCTACGCTAATATCAGAAAAATAAAAGCACAGGTGTCACTGACCCACTTGTTCATCAAATGAGAAACAAAACTCAGGATGCAATGTGCGAGCAAACTATAAACTCGGCCATATAGAAATGACAATACATTTATACACAGGAATTTCTAGAATATTTTCTTCCAGGCGCTGTGATCCATGCATCACCATGATTTCGGCAATCAATTCATATGTTGATGGACCTTAACCAAACTTAGTGAAAGGCAACTTTCTCCAAATAAAAAGATCTAAGCAAGATTATTCTGACCAGTTCACAGTAAAAATGAAATCAGCAGATAAGTTGGGTACCTCTATTTGGATAAGTTTAATTTAATGTGCCTAGTTTGCTAACTAGTCACATGCAATCACCAAGATCGTGATTAAGTGATGCCATCAGAAACTAAAAGAATCATCACATTTATAGGCTAATACTAGATTTCGTTTCAGACAAATTAGCGGCAAATAATATGTAGAGGGGAGGACCTATTGAGATTGAATTAATGACATCGATCTTACAGTCAACCATGAAAAAACAATTGCAGAATAGATTCTCGAAGAGAGCTACGTCTACCTGTGAGGAACCAGTTAATTATCTGATGCAATAAAAGCAGTCCTCTCTTCTGAGATCTGTGGGAAGTGGACACCCACACCATAACCGATGATAGCAAAACCATTATCACCTATCGAACCAAAACTTATTACATATTATGTAAAAAATATTTTGCAGTAGGTAATAAGCAGAAAAAATCACATCCTATACCTGAAACCAGAAGAGCTTTTTCTTATATGGTTCTACTGAGGGACCAACAATGCACGACCAAAGCTTATCTCTTTTGGCATAAAACTCAAATAATCTGCCAGTCATTCCAATCAGGATAATAATAGCCCCACTTGCAATCCTATAAAAAATGAGAATCCAAATTTTTGGATTGACCCAAGGAACAAATGTTAGCTGTCTAATTTTTCTCAGAACTAAGAGCTCTTAGGATCAAAAAAAGACTGAAGAATCAGACAAAAAAGGAAAAACGAATGCAATCTCTCAAGTATGAATGAAAAATAAAATACATTATGATCAGTATTCTGTTACGTGCAACAGAAAAGGAGGTCACATGCGAAGCAGTCAAGAGAAGCTTCGGGAGGCTTCCACAGATCCGACGGCTCAGATGAGAATGACAGAGGAATATAAACGGTGCTATGAGGAACAGAATAAGGGACGGAAAGTTCAGACTAGGAGAGGCAGGGGATCCTCTCGAATCCCATTCCCCACCTTACTTCTCAGTTCTCTCTTCCCTTTCTGATATTCTGGTAAGAACCGTCACTCTGACGCCCATACCTCTACTATTCTGTTAGAGTTGGCTTGATCAATACAATTTGATTTCCCACCTAATTCGCCCCAATCCTATCCTTCTAAAGAGGATCGTATCATATTCCCTAATGAGGAAAAAACAAAACAGTAGCAGATGGCAATATCATCCCAGACAGAATACTTCAGGAATCCTCCACCACAACCAAAGGGTGCAGGCGATGCAGATATTTCACAATCACTTTCAAGCATTAGTCATCATATTGAATTGGACAAAGAAAAGAATAGTTTAGGCTGTATCATATAGCAAAGATTGATATAAAAAACAAAATCACACATGTACTGAAACAAATAGATGCATTGAAAGTGGTGGAGAGATGAAGTGCACTTAAATCAGTGGTTTTCCACAAATCAATGTGACTAAATATATGAGGGCGTACTATCGTCAAAGTAAATACCTCATCAATGAGAAGAACAGTTAAGCCACATCCATTCTTCAAAAGGAACAAAGGGATACAAATGAAGAACTGGGAAGAATTTCGAACAGTTAGTTTCTGATGGGTGATGACTTTGTTGTTTTTGTCCCCTACCCAAAATATTTTGACCCAGTCTTCGTATAGGGATGGGGGGTGAACTCTGTGTATCATACTAGTAAAGGCTAAATTGTGAAAGGTGTTCTACTATGTTGCTTTTTATGCAGGAAAGTAAAACAGCCTAGTTTAATTATATATTAATGAATGCTACGTAAACTTTACATGGGCCATATCAATACCACTCAATTTGACTAGTGTCTTACACAGAAATTCTTACACTGTTGCATCAAACCTTTAGTTATGCAACACGATTTGCTTCTAACCCGTGGTTATTTACTGCAACCCAGACCCCAGTTAGCTGAGCCTTCCGATCCTTACACATGAGGATTTTGACAGTATTAAAGGTGATCTTACTGGTGTTAGTTGTACTGAGATGTCAAACCAAGTTTCCTTAAGAAAAAAAAAAATCATCTATAAGCATTACCAAGGAGACAGGTTTTGCAAGCCGAGACTATATAACACAAAGGAAACAATCTTGCGAACACCTAAATCACCGCACTATCCTATGCTTCATCAGCAATAGATAAATTTTCCTATTACTAGCAGTGCACAAACTACAGCATACGAGAATCCAAAGACTTGTGGAGAAAATGCCACATTTTCTGGATCAAACAAAGGGAATATTTGCAACAATGCAACAAGGATCGCCCAACCTGGAACTTCAAAATGTTCATATATTCATCATTAGATACTCTTTTCTACAAAAATCAAGCTTCTTTACGATCACAATCACATATGTGCTTCAACTCTTATTACAAAAACAAACATTTTCATTCTAAACCAAGACTTCAGCAACTGCAGACGACTCTGCCCCTTCCCTACCATTTAAATCCGACTAATACTTCACATGCCTAGATAGGCACCTTTCTTTCAGAGTATATGCCAATATAAGAAGCAAACACTTTTTCAAACTTCCAGACTGAAACTTCAAGTTTTAATTCCTTTACAAGAAACCTCCAATTTAGATGACCAAAGACATGATGTTTCCCATACAAACAGATCGACATTTTCAGAGTTTTCCCATGACTCGAAGTCATCCAGTTGACTTGGGAGGCTAAACCTTAGCTCGCCTTGCAAGCTTCTTTCATATGAATACTTTACTACTCCAAAAAATTACCAAAAAACCTATGATAAGAAGATTTCAGAGAGAAACTGACACAAGTCCCGTGTTATCAGGAATTTCTGCAGGCATCAAGGTAAAACCGGATAAGAACCAGCAAGCAACGCATAAAAAGATTCCCGTAGAAGGCCTTCTCCAGAAAAAGATAAAAGACCCAGCAACAGCTCCCGTAGTCATGAAACACCAGGTGTACAGTTTCCTTTCTGAGAAACTAGAGACCTGAAGGAAGAAGAAAACATAAATTGTAAATCGAACAACATATAAATTTCCGTTAAAGAAAGAGTAATAAAGTGAAATATACGTACCAAGAATTCAAGAATGAATAATGCCACAAAACAAGCACAACATAGTTTCACAACAGTACTGTATCTTTTCCCAGAAAAGCCCCTCCATGCAGTCGCTATAAACTGGATATTACTGAAAATCTGTGCCCATAAAAATATAGTCGTTGCAGAATAGACATGGTAAAGAAGTGGAGATTTCTCCAAAAGAAATACAGAGGAATACAATCCTGTCAACAGACAGGCACCCAGATAGACCTGATTCAAACGAGAAAGGAGAGCATTAACAACCACAGACTTCCAAAGTTGAAAATCATCTAAGCAACAGAAAGTTTCTTAACGCAAAAAGCTAATTGTAGTATATATTCTGTAAATATCTCTACAACTTTCCATTGCTCCCAATTTGCTTCCAGACTCCATTCCCTATCCATCATTTACACAACAATTCGATAAAAAATATGTTCCATGTCTAGTCAAAAAGTTCCAAATCTGTCAAGGATGATAGAGTTTAGCTTCAAGAAAAAAAAAATCGCTCCCCACCCAATCGCACACGAAGTACTCAATGGATATTGCTATCATAGTGTCACCGAATCATAAACTGCTTACCAAACTTCATTGCGAGGTAAATAATGTGAGTATTTCACCAAATATAAATTATGGATATTGAACATAGTACTCTCTTCAATGTAGAACCATAGTATGAGTTTTAGAGAAAAAATTTAGATATTGTTGATCTAATTGTACGTTCAGTGGAACACTATGTACTCAAATAGTGCAGTTTAGGCCAAAGAACCTATAAACAAACGATACTAGATGTAGAGAATAAGACACATGTCACCAAACATTCATTTACATGTAGTGGCATCACTTTGCATCCAGGGGCTATGAGAGGCAAATATTTTAACCCGTGTTAAGAGGCTATGTCCGCTGTGGCTGTAACACGACCTAATTTCTAGGTTGTCACCAGAAACAAGGATCCTGAAGAGATTCTTGAGGTAAAGAGCTACCAATGTGAGATGGATCAAAAGAAGGGAGAAAGTAAAGTAATAACTTTCCAATCAAAAATACCAACACAAAAAATTTGAAGTCCATTCACTTTACTAAATAGAGAGAAAATATATGTTCATCTTATCAGACAATAGAATTAAACAGAGTGAAAAATGTATACAAGTCATGCAGGACAAGAAAGCTAATAGCATGATTTTTAAAAAAAATATAGTAGACAAATTATGAAACACATTTTAATTTAAATAGGACATATTAGTGAATATTTTGTGAAAGTCGTCATGAAGATATCTCAAATATGACTAGCTTCTTATGTGATTTTAGTAGAATTTTCCTCACGATGAGAAATCCCATGAAATAGTGAAGAACTTCCTGTGGGCGTAAAATCAGTTTGCTTCAACATTCATTTCATTAGGAAGTGCGTATAGGCGTGAACAAAAACCGGTCACTTTACATTGAAATAGGTTGACAGTTGAGTATGCATACAAGAAAGGTCGTTATATTTGTTTAGGATGGTAAGTTGTTGGAAGAAGTTTCTAGATAATGGTCCCCTCCTATTCGTAACCCAATACCCAAGGCCTGAGAATGATGATTGAACTAACAAGATAGGCTACATATCTTTATAAGATGATCCACCACCAGGTCAGCATGATTAATGATCAATAGGTGATTGCTCCTCACTATGACTTTTAGCAAAGTAACCGAATGACTTGAAACAACCAGCCAACGAATTGTGATCGAAATTTATGTTAATTTTTTTAATGCCGAAATTATTTATTCAATGAAACCTTCCACAATGATAGAGAACTATTGACTACAAAATATAAATATAAAATACCCACTAGCTCTCCAGAAAAGCCAAAATTCTTTAATCTAGAAAACGGCGAAATTGAGAAATACTACCTCATTCTCTTCTGAAATGGCAGCTGTGTCACGTTTTTGTGAGCAGGCATTTAGAGAACCAGTTAGCAGATGAAGATGAAAGAGTAGGAAACTTATGTAGACTGGAAGACAAATCAGAAGTTTTAAGCAAAAGCTGAAGTCGAAAAAAAGAGTGTATCGGTGACAGTTTTCAATGACACTGAGTGATGAAAAGACAGCAATGATTTTTAAAAGATGGCCAAGTTATGTAACCAGAAAAATTAAAAGAAAGAATCGCTTCAAAGAACTTCAGCAAAGAGATCTCAATAACACCAATTTGAGGCATTGTTAGGGGGCTCAATGAAAATATTTTACCCTCCTCTTTATATACCCAGATTATAATAGCACACAAGCTACAGCAGGTTAAGGCTCCGGTCAACTTGACAATACATGAACACTTATATGAGAGAGAAATCAGAAGATCTATCATTTATTCTCATAAACAAAAAAGAAGAGGATAAAATCTTTGCCGAAGCAAATCCCAAGAGACTAGAGACTTCAAAAGATGTAGAATAAAATCTCAACACAAAACCCAATATAAATATATTCACAACAGAGTGTGTAACATTGATGCTGATACCAAATAAACAAAACAATAGTATTTCAGAGAAAATATACTATTGTCACATGTTCAAAAGTTTACCCTTTTTGTGGTATTCCATTGGTTGGCATCAACAATTATGGAAACATGTTTCTGCAGAGATGTATAAGACTGCAGGATATGAATAAGAAGATTGAGAATCCAGCCAATATATCCAAGTGTAATGGTTGTCATCAACATCAACCAATCGTAAGTTTGAAAATAATGCAAGCCAGCCAGTGCCAAGTTTCTAAGATCCTGAGACATCCTCAAAGCTGCTTCATAGTCACTCTGAAAGATAAGATCCTCAATCTGCTTCAAACTGGATAGATAATTTTCTAATGGTTTAAATGGCTTGAAAAACAATGAGCTTGACTGCTTCACGTCTAAAAGTAAGATAAGGACACACAAAAGTGAACCTCAAAATAATCATTTGTGAGTAAACAACAGCACTTGCAAAGCAAACAAAATAATACAGCAATCAACTAACAGATTAGATGATTAATTAAGCAAGTTGGTTTTTTCTAAACAAGGCACCACCCTTCCCTTCAGAATACACTTGGGACCATTAAGTAAATTTGTATTGTCATCATGAGCCCTTAATAGGCACAATAACTAAAACTCTATAATGCAGAAGAAAAAGAAATGGTGGTGTTGTGATAATGAGGGTCATTGTGTTTGGATTCTTTTTTTTTCCTTCAAAATTTTGGTAAGGCCAGATATGCTCGAACACAAAAAGAAGATATAGAAAAGTAGCACATTTTTAAAACAATAACGATTTCTTCCGAGGATACAAGACTTCCTGAGGAACTGATTGAGAATTTGCATTGTGTTCGACAAGGTGGCCTCTGCTTCTTCTCGCTTTACAAAGATAAACACGAAAGAAATATTCAGTTATTCATGCTAAAAGGGTTGTCTTTCATTTAAAGGACATGAAATTGGTCCCACATCATCCCCAAGAGACTAAAATTTTATGGAAAAAAACAGTGCCAATACATTCAAGGAGCAAACTCGCGACTAACCTTGTTCAGGTTTAGGAACCCTAATGGCAAATTTCCAACAGAATTAACAGGACATGGAGAGCCAATTAGAGTAGCCTGGAGAAATTTGAAGCTCCATCAGGGGAAAAATGACTAATGAAACAACATCGGTTTCGTGGACCAACAGAAGAGTATGTTAGAAGAGAAATCAATCAAACCATCAGAGGTGCTATATCTGCTTGATTCAAATCAACTCTTTCAACATCATTAAGGTCCCATTTAGCAGGCGTGGGCATGTCATGTATGTGCTCATGTACAGAGGAAAGCCCATATTCAGATTGATTATTATGGGCCAACAAACTGGGAGTCCGAATGCCAGCACCCCAAGCTACAAGCGGAGTGTTAGTGTTCGTGGGGTGCCCATCTCCATGACTTCCTGCATGTAAAACAATTATCATGTCAGGATATTAAAAGCAGACACGGATAATCATCTTACATTTTTTGTTCAGGAATATGATTGGAGTCTTCCTACTACTCCATCAAAAAATAAATCTAAATAAAAGAGATATGGACTATGCATAAATTCAAGAGAATTTAAAATTTAAGTCAGGCAGTGCATCTAGTACATGAGTATCCTTAATCCACTTCTGGCAACTAAGTATTCAAAGGAAACTTGGTTCCAATCATATGAGACGTCTTTGGCATTAGCAAAGGCATGGTACGGGAACTGAAATTTTGGAGGATATGGAATGCATGTAGACTCAGATATTCATATACCAAATAACGCAAGTTATTGCCACCTGCTATGGGATAAATTAGGCCAAAAAAATACGAATTAACAAATATATGCCTTTGATTTAAATTTTACATGCATAAACATGCTTATTTGGGAGAAAATCTAAACAATGGTGATGGAGACTCAAGGATAAAATCGCCGGTATTTAACCGTATACTGCAGCACTAACTGCAAGTGTACATGAATAGGAGAAACGAAAGAAAGGGAAAAGGATGACGTTGATGACAGGGATAAAAGGTCTGGCAATTGACGACAGGAAATTAGCGAAATACGGATTTATAATCGCTTATTCATGAAAACGAAAAGATCGACATGTTAGATTGTGCATGTAGCATTTTGTCGCATATACGAGAAATGAGACAGAGAAAATTCTAATGAATCTAATGTTACAAGATGTACAGAAATATTATCCAATTGACTCCACAAGATGATAGTTAAATTAAATACATAGATAGAGTGGCACGAATTAAGAACAACAACGCTCTTCATTATACCAAATTAACAAAACTACCAATAGATAAAAGGAAACAGACGTTTGAGCACTTTTTCCAGTTCATTGTCTTTATCACATATTAAAAGACACCGGAATGATCCGAAAAAGGCAAGATTGCAAGGCAAAAGAGTGGAAAAATAAGTTTATGGGTGCATCTTCTTGGTTGTGTAAGAAAAGAACATGAAAAAGAATCTGTGAGATGTTATGACACAATATAATTTTTACAAGCACGGCATAAGTCCTTATTTTCATAGTTATCTTAGGAAAGGAAGACCAAAAACACACAAGGACGAATATCTCAGATATTTTTAGGTAAACAAAATTCTAATAGAATTCTCAACAAGTTTTCCAGGCATGAAGATTAGCAAATGGAGATGGAAAGCTTGCTATGAGATACAAAAGCTATCACAGAGTTTGCATGAAATCAATTTATTAAAAAAATTGTTTATAAAGATGCAATGAATAGCAATTCTTAAGAATGGTGAACAGGTGATGTAAGGATCAAATGTACTATCCTTTACATGCAGCAATCTTTTCTAAAATCCCAGATGTATTTCAGTGTTTTGGTAAGAGATGAGTCTTCAATTTGCAGTCTCCTAAGTAGTTTTCTAACATTTCACAAAGAATATGAAAGACAAAAGAAATGCTTTTCTTGTTGGAAAATAATGGAAGCAATACATTTAGAAAAGAAAAAATAGGTAAGAGGTGGGTGCCAAGAAGGTCCCTTTCTATTTTTGTTTGAATCAAGAAAATTCGAACATGTTTTTACAACTTAATTGAACATAGAGATCAAAAAGCATGTTTGACTTTAAACAAATGTTAATGCATCACCTAGCTATAAATGAAGCTGCAGCGCATCTGAGTGTGTAGATCAGGCAAGTGGCTTTGAATTCAAGTTTTCTTGCTTAATGAGAATTCAACACCATAGGAATTTGCAAGGCAAAGATGTATCATCTATGGGAACTGATACCATGATGATGGTTATCATAAGAACTTGTAGCCTGAGGGTATATTGGGGAAGATCATGTAGGCTTTTCTCCCTATTTAAGTGGTGTCAACTGTCAATGAAAAGTGAGGTGGTTTCTGGCTCTTCCCCTCTGTCCTATGTGACAAAGGAAAGTTCCTCCACGTCATTCTTCCCCCTCTTCCTTTCAACATGGTATCAGAAGGTGGTCACTTTTGGCCTTTTCTCTATTCTTCCTCACAGGACGTTCCATCTGGTGACCTCACAGGACGTTCCTCACAGGACGTTCCCTCTGGATCACCGGTTATTAAACTGGTGATCCAGTTCAAGGAACACTTGCATGCGAGAATTCAGATTTTAAGTTTAAAACTTCGCACTCGACCAAATTCTTCATCAATAAGTTGTCATAGACAATCTAAATCACAACTTTATTTCACATGAATGTCTACTTTACGACAACAAGAAATAAATGTTTTTGTCCATAATTGTCGCTCAATCTGTTGTCAATATCTATTTGATTTTATTTTGAATTATGTCACTATTCCAAGTTCTAAATAAATGCTAACTCTACATCATATCACACAGGTTTCGGAACTGATAAGCAGAATGTTATGGTTTTTGACAATTTGAGAAAGTATTTCACACAAAAAATGACTGTCATGGCATTGTCCATTCAAGAGGACTACCTAAAAAGGAAAAAAGATATACTAAGCTTTCCTAAGTGCTTAGCCACCATAGACATCGCAAATTTGCCTTGTGGATGCTCTGATCCCTTGGCAACAATATGTGAAAGCAGAAGAAACAACAATGACCACTTACCAAGAAAAAAGAATACAAGGAGAAGAGATAAATGAGAGGCAAGTTTTTCAAACCTTTATCACTTATTCCATGGTCTGCAGTAAAGATATAAGATGTCTGATTATCACCAAAGTAATCTTCAAAAAGGCTCTGAACTCTTTGAGCAATACGATCAACAACTCTAACATTGTTTGAGTAAATTGTTGAATGAGGGCGGTGAGCATGACCATTTGTATCACAACCAAGCAAATGCAAGAAAACAACAATTCTTTCTTGCATAAGCAACTGCTTCAATTTCGAATCGTTATGTGATCGATGCAGAAGGTCATGAAATTGATCAAAAGACCATTGATCCAAAAAAGAAGCATCTGCAACAAACGTTTTCAGTCAGGTAAAACCAAATCCAAAAAACCTACCAAGTTATTAGATGACTCCTTAATCTTTCTGATACAGATTCCACAACACTCAGATTTTTCATCCTACGATTTTTTTTAGACACATGACCGAAATGAACAGCAGAAGTTATTCAAACAAGTCAATTTAAAAGTAACAACGGGCACCTTATCAGAATTATGACAACATCATAATTAACAATTTAACCAAATTGAGAAACCTCTTCCCATTGGACTGTACACAGAATATCTACAGAAAAGATCACCCCTAGATGTTTCCACCCATCAAAAGGCATTCCAAGTATGCTGTTGTGAGAACGCCCAAAGACCAGAGGTTGGTCCAGAAGCCAAAACATTCAGGAATGGAAAAGTCAAAAAAAAAATCTTTATTCACTTAATCACTGCATCATACTAGCGTTATTTCATCTTCCTAGAACACAAATACACATTCATTCTCTTTTTCACATGCCTAAAACTGAAAAAAAATGCTACAAGGTATGTTATTCTGTGCCCATATGTCACCTCACTCTTTTGGAAAAAATTCAACGTAAGCACTTTATTTTGTGTTCGACATGTACATTATTTTTTTCTGTATTCTTGTGTATTTTTTAGGAACATGTAATCGAGGACTAACTCTATTAGCCGATAAAAGTAAAAAGAATCACAAACACTAATACCATGTTGATAGGAAATCAAAACTCACTTTCGGATCAGAAGAATACAAAGAATGGTCCTCAATGCCTCAGCTACTCTTTTGACTTGAAAGAAGACGTTAAAAAGGTTCAGGCATATTTGAAATTCGATTTCTTATTTTCTTCAGTTATGCAGTTCATTTGCTTATTAGTAAGTTAGAAATCAAATACTTAAAGCATTGTTATTGGTCGGTACATATCAACAATCTCTCTGTGGTCAAACCATCCTTGACTCTGAAATATGTTAAAAAAGCATATTACATGCTAGCTTGCAATGAGCTATTCATCCAGTATGACAGGTAACCCATCCAGATTTCCTCCAACATACAACAAAACAGCTATTCAAATTGTTTCAATTCCTAAATGGGTACCCAGCATTGATCTGTAATGGAGTTGTTACTGTTTCTTCATTTACCTTTCTCCTCCTAATTCCCCTTGTGTAAATTTATTGTTTTTTATTCAACTAATGAAGACTCAATATTATTCTGTCGCATTTGTTACTGCTCACTGTGTTTTGCGAGATCTTCAAATTATTAAGATAAGTGGAGGACGGGGGTCTAGTGAGCAATAATTTCTTTGATGAGTGATCCGTAGGTAATCAGAGTCTTCATCTTCTGGATTACTCCACTCTGATGTCTTAACTCCAGGTTGGACTTCTTCTACATCTGTTTTCAGGAACTTCACCACCTTTGCAGATGATTTTTCTATAATGCCATGGCTCTACTCTCTAAGTACATGTATGACGTTCAAGATTTTAAATCATTTCATTAAGAAATTCAATTTCAAATATGTGTGGATATTCATGTGTTTTCAAATGATATCCATTTAGAACACATGAAAAATATTATTATATGACTCATTAAACAGTTTGTACTGCTGAGAGAAAGAACTATCATCTCCCAGATGTTGATTGCACTTGTAACGTCAAAGAACTACAAAGAGTACTTTAGTCGACTTTAGCACCTATTTTTGTAAATGACAATTTTCTCAAAAGACAATTTGACTTGCAAATTTTCCTTTCTTAGGCGATATATGGACATGAAATAACGAACCTTGAGCATGACTGGAGAAAACTTATACAGATTCGCAAAACACCACAGAGAGGCCAAATGGTTGTCATTCAACTGCAGCATTTAACTCATAATTTACCTTTTCAAAAGCATTTCAAGTGAATTGGTTTCTAACCTGATGCAAAATCTTCAAACTCAGGCGGATAGGAACCCCAGGTGGCATGAGGAAGATTCCCACAGAATATTGGAACAACACCAGGACTACCAAAGGCAAATGTGTGTCTACTCCGGTTGAAAACGGAGTCAAACTCCACAGGATTAGCTTTCCATCCTGAAAGGGACGATAAATCCTTAGTGACAGATACATCGCGGTCACAGTTAGTGCTCCACGAATCGAGCCCGCAAAAGGAACAAAGAATCAAAATAGCACAACCGATAGTATTTTATCTAAGATTACCTTTCGTAATAGCACTCGGGTCTTCATAGAAGCCTGCAATAAGGGAGACATGACCTGGCCTCGACTCTGTGGGAGGTCGTGCATGGGATATCCCCCAGCGACCCTTCTCTCTTATGATTCTCCGGAGGAAAGGGGCCCTGAAATGCCCCTCAGAGTCCGGCTCAAAGAATTTGTCAGCACGGAGGCCGTCGGCTGCATCAAAAATGGAGAAGAAAGAAGATTAAGCCCATAAGACGGCAAAAGCCATAACTAGTCACCTCCTCTTCGTCCAAATGGAGAAGAGTGCCATCCAAAACAAACTACGTTGCAGAGGAATCAAAGAGACGAAGGCGGAAAGGACTTGCCGACGAGAAGGACCAGCCGCTTCGCTGGGGCAGAGATCCGCTGAGGCACGGCGTCCATGCCGTGTACAACAGGACTCTTGAAGTAGATGTCGAAGATGCTGAGCATGTAGACTGCGTGAAGCACAATTCCCACCAGCACCAGCCACGTCTCCCGTCTCCTCAACTGCTGCCACCTCCTCCGCCGTTGCCACTCGTAAGCGTAGGAGACGGACGAGGGAGGGAAGACTGCGCCGCCGGCTACATTACCTGATTCTTCCCGAGCACCGCCGCCTCCTCTGACGACTCCATCTCCCACCATGATCCCCCGATCAGAATGGGGATATACGGGAGCAGTTGCCTTCGATCCCCCAAGCACGACCGATCCCGGCGGTGCTACAAGCAGCCGCCCACCCGTGAGGCGACGGTGACCCCGGACGCAGGCGGGAGAAGGTCCTAGGATGGCGAGTTGGACAGCTTCTTCTTCTTCTTCTTCTTCTTCGGACTACCAGCAACCCTCCCCTGGCTGGCAAACGCAGGAACAGTCAGGGAGGGAGAGCTCGATTGGTCAAATACCCCACAGTGTGGGCAACCATTCACGGATCTTGGTCCTCCACTTTTCTCCATTAATTTATTACGAAGTAAAAATCAGCAGCTCAATAATAGCAATAATAGATGAAAAAGATCTGCAAATGTCTCATTTATTAATAGCAAAAATATATCAAAGAGAAATAATTATATTTATTTATCCAAATAGAAAAAGTCAAAATCTTCATCTGAAATCTGGGATGAAGTGAATCCGGGTATTATA